GGCAGTCAAACTGCTTTAAGATATTGTTACAATGGCATTTTAAAATATTAAAAATCCAGTCACAATTTTTTTTCATGAGCATTAAAGTTCGAATTTTTACAAAAAGCTTAAAAATCATGAAAATGTGCAAAATATTTTGAGTTCGAAATTCCTACTGTACAGCAGAGCCACATCCACTTACCCGCTTTTTGAAGCGAAAAATGCTTATAAAAAAAAACTGTGACTAAGGATTTATAATATTATTCATCCTTTGAAACAATATACTAGGAGCCTTCTATTAAATTTTCAAGGTTCTTTAACCAACAAATAAAATTTTATTGATTTTTTCAGAAAAAAAACTAAAAAAAAAATGGAAAATGAAAATGTCCCTAAACAGTTCAAAATAAATCAAAATATTTTGTAAATGTTATCGTGTATAGAAAATGCAAATGTAAACAACCAGTGAACATTTCATGTATATTATACGTTCATTTGTTTTAGAGTTAAACCAAAAACCAAAATCGATTTTTTTGGAAAACAGATTTTGAGTAAAAATTCCCGTTATTCCTTAATTTTTCTTTTGTTTTTCTTGGCGCTTTTGAAAATTCTTTGGAATTTTAAATTTTGACCTCACCAAGCACCAACGATATTCACTTTCCAATCGAACAAGATACTGAAGTTGAAAATCAAGGCATTATTTCGACTACTTATCGTGTACACAGACACAAAAAAATAAAAATAAAACATCATTGTAAAATTAATAGGTACATTCATCGTTCCACTAAGAATCTAAAATTGAGTTTTTAAATTTGAATTTAAAAAAAGTAATTTAAGTACAATACCTATGTGCTCTTATAACCTTCCATGTACCATTATATAAATCAATAACTAAGTACCTACCTAACACATTACTATTTTAGTGACCAGTGTTGGTACTGTTGACTAATGATTAATGGCTATCAACAATCAAGTAATTAGTTATACGATAGTTGTTGACTATTACCTATGTATTTACTATTTATCCAACTGACCGATGAGCTTATTAGAATACGTTGTATAGGTTACTGACCAATTCAAATAAACTAGACATAGATTAATTGTTCAAATAAATCAAATTGCTATTAATTATTTTGTTTTGATATTTGCCATTCATTTATATTTGAATAATTGTTCAAACATTCATATCAAGTAATGATTAGGTACTTATCAATACCAGTATAATATTGTAGGTACATTATTTTGACGATATGGTCTCTGTCGAAAAAAGATAAGATAAGATATTATAGGATAGTATACAATTAATAGTTAATTAACTAAGAATATATATCTTCTTAGTTCATGAAAAGTACTTTTTTGCAGATGAGTTATGTCGAAAAAATACTTCTTATCAGTTATCACGCTTAACGATTAAAATAAATATAATCATTTTTTGGACAGAGCCATAGACATTTTAGTATTATCATTTTTCCACTTATTACAATATTTCTATTTCAATATGGCATCAATTCTTACTCACATTTTACTTATAAAACCATTTTTTTTCCAACATTAACTACTTTTAGATACATTTTATACTATAAATGTCAGCATATTGTTTTACTATAACAAATGAAAAAAAAAAATAATTAAATGTTTCTTTGCTAGTTGCAGTCAATGTTTTTTTCATTTAAAATTATTTACAGTGGAACACTTTTTTCCATTGTTGTGAACTTGTGAATGCACTGATTGTCCGTGCATTTTAGTGAGTCCATTGAAGTTTTAACTCAGTATTTACTGAAAGCATAAAAAAAAGAACTAAGAAACCAACTTAATTTTTTTTAAATTTAGGGACCAAAGTGTTGAATTAAAAAAAAAATTTTACAAAATAACCTTTAATAATTGAAGTCGGAAAATTATTTTTCCACTGATAGTTTTAATAAATATACTATTAGTTTGGTGCTGTAGGGTCCATAGTTTAAGCGAATTCTGGTATATATAGATTTGAGATAAACAATTAGTTGATAAATTATTAAAAATAAGATAATACAAACAAACATATATAATAAAAACAGTATATTATACAGTTTTTATTTAAATTGCGAAAAAAATGTATGCATAACTGAATGAAAAAATTAAGTTCATAACACCATGATAATTATCTAATTATTATACTTAAAATAAAATAACAAAATACTTATTATTATTGAAATTATTAAATATTGTCAATAGTAAAAATTACACTATTAATTATCCTAATATTATATAGTTTTTATAGAACTAACGACACATAATGGGCAAGTAGGTAATACCGTTTTGATGCACTGTATAGATATCGAGCGTTTTCGTCATTGAGTAGGTCACTATATAATAATGGTTGTGTTCAATTTGAATGCAGTGATAAACCATTACACACGAAAAATGATTTTTGGCAAACACAGCATATATATCTAAGTTTATTTTATCATATTATATTTATATTGGTACTATATAGTACTTTATTTTACTATTACGGAGTATAATACGTTATTTAGCAATACGGTATAAATAGGAATAGGTACTCAGAATGAATCTATCAATTTTGAAAATATAATTAGTGTGATATGCATTTCAAGTCACTAGGAATATTATTGAATTACAACAAAATAATTAAAATTGTCATTCTTTGTTTAAATAATTTCAAATTCGTCAACATTAAAACTTTAAATGTTTATAACAAAAAAATAGTGGTCTTAACTGTTTTAGATTTTATATTTCAGGAAGAACGACTAATAATAAGGAATATCTTGTATTAATAAATATTTTTAAGTTTTTGCCTATAACATAATTTAAAAAACCGTGATTTTAAGTTCATCAAAGCTTAAAATTTAGACACTTATAAAAAATAACTGTGGAATTACACTATACTTTTATTTTATCATTTTAGTAAGCAAAACTTATATAATATAATATTCAAACCTAAGATATTAATATTAAACTTTTTATACATGTTTAATTACAAAATAGTTTACAAATTTTCAAAAAAATTTAAAACACTTTGTAAAATCAAAATATTTCATTGCCCCGTTAATAATTTAAAATATTAAAATTAAATTCCAAAACTTAAAAAGGGAAAAAAATCCATATCCATCCCGCCCAAAAGTTCTTACTTTTGAATGTTTGTGCATCGTTTGTGAAGATGATATACATGAACTATAGGACTGGCGGTATTTCAAATGTTGATACCGGTATCTATTCTTGTTTACAACTGGTATCTACGGTATTACTGATCTTACCGTATTTTCTGTATATTCAGCAAACTTTTTCCAACGCAAGGAAAATTTAATATTTTTTCTTAAAAATGATGTTTTTAATTATTTATTTTGTAATGCCGTTGGGGTATTTATTAAAAATAATCATAACAATATGACCAGCGTCAAATGGGAATTCTAAAAATAGTTGTTTTTGTCCTGAGTAATGTGTTTTCACATACCTAACCTATATAAATTACAAATGTATACAGTATTTTCGGTAATTTCGGTAACAACGGTAATAATTACTAAAATACCGAAATACCATAAGCCTTAGTACCAAATCCCATCGTCCATAAATAACTACTTATCGAAAGAGGGAGTGTTCTATTTTAACGCCCCCTCACCATTGTTTTTAAGATATTTCGGTATGTTTATATAATAAACTATCATGTCCATAAAATAATGCTTTGTTCCTAAGATTTTCAGGTGGTACCGATATGTCCAATAATTTTATATTTTTTAATAGTGGTTTTAAGCCCTAAGACCCAGAAATGCTGACGACATAGTAGTCACATAGGCCGAATACGTGATGAACCCCCTGGACTAGGACCCATTAAAATAGTTTTTTTTCCCCAAATAATGCTTTATATGTTCCTGGGAAATCGTTGGTTTTTTGAGACATGCCAAAATAACTGTACATAATATCTAATATGCATATTATAAATAGACCAGCGGTTTTTAAACTTTTGATTAACACAGAGGGGTCCGGGATTTAAGATTTTTAGAAATCTCGGAACACTTACCAATTTTCTTTCAAATACTCTTTATTAACAACATTTCTCATGTTATCATAATCACTATTTTAATACTTATTTTATGTTACACAAATCATATAATTAGGTATAGGTACATAAAAACATACAAATTTATAATTATTTTTATTACAAATCATTTTTCATAAAAGTTTAATATTTAATTTTAACCGCCGAAACAGACATATTCGATGTTTTACTATGATGATTAACTTGTAGGTAGTTGAATACTAATCTAACGTCTTATTCATAGATTTTCGTCACACCGATATCACGAAGGTACGATAATATAATATAATAACATGTAATACCAATAAAGCAAATCAAAATACATTAAAATATGCTTGCGACGTAATACCATAGAACAATCTAATACTCGAGGACGAATCACTTTTACCGTTTACCGTTCCGTTTTTATACAGTTGCTGGCCCATCCATTGCCAATAATATTATCTCAGCGAACACCACTTACATACGAGACGGCAGGAACTATAGAAATACTCGTAACTCGCATTGTATACATCGTGATGGCTCGGAACAGATCGTACTCGTGTACTTGTCAGTTTAACTTAACGTCAAACTTAAGGCTTTCATGTGCAATTGTTTTCGTAACAATATATGGTTTGAAGAGAAGACGTTTACGAACATCTCCGAACACTCGTTACTACCTCGCTCGTGTTATAACCACGACGACGACGACCGAGGGGGCGAGCAAAAGCCGAAAACAATTTAAAACCCGAACGGCGGCGGTGACACCTCAAGGTCGTCGGCGGTAAACCAATCGCCGAAATCGACCGGATTGGTGCGCCGGACTCCGGAGGGGTGGTGATGACTGACGGAACAGGTCGGCGAGGTTAACGACAATTTCGCGTGCGCTTATTACACGGCGCTGGTGACCGGGCCGGCCACTCTGCGTGATCTCTACTGCTCCCGGTCCAAACACCTGTTCCTGCTCCGTGGATGCTCGGATATCACGGCGCACGGCCCGGACGAAGTGCAAATGTTCGCAGCCCGGATGGGTTACGACCGGTGCCAGGTGTCCGTCAAGTCTGTGGACACCATCCAGGTCCGGTCCGACCGGTTCGTCGTGTTGGTCGTCGGCGAGATGATGTGCCCGTGGGGAAGCGTCCCGGAGGGCCGGAAGTTTGTTCAGTCGACGGTGGTCAGGTGGTGCTTACCGTGCAAGTTCTCCATCATCGGCTCGGTGTTCATGTTCGACGACGCGATCTCCGAGCTCGGCAGTCTCGAAGAAAACACCACCTGCACCGACGACGGTGACGACTGCCAACCGAAATCACCGACACCATCACTGGCCGGCACACAAGCATTGCCATCTCCACCGTCGGCCACACACACAGTGCCGCCCGACATCAAGAATGCCGAGTGCGTGCACTGCCGGACAGCTTGACTACTATTATACGACTTGTATACCGAATTCGGTCGGTTCGGCCAGGTGGTCGGCGCCAACATATTGCTGAGTCCCAAGAGGAAAGGCTAAACACCGTCACGGAATCGTGTGGTAAGGCCTTCCCGGGACGGCGGATGCGGTCATTCAGTTCGGTACGGTCACACTGACCAACGGTGACTTGGTGGCCGTCGAGAGGTCGACGAACAACGTACGACTGTCACCTTGCTAATCGCTGTTCCAACCAGTTACCGGGACATATTTTATATTCCGTGAACCAACGATACCACCACCATGGTTGTTGTCGTCGTCGTCGTCGTCGTCGTCATCGTCATCGTTTATAATGTTGATATAGATGTTTAACGATGTTAAGTATTATATAATATGGAATGTCACCAAACATACATTTTTTAGGTTCTCATATATTGTACTCGTATAATGATATTTCCATAAAAATAAATACAATTAAATAAGCATAATAATATTAGGTATCTCAATTAATATTCTTCAGTACTAGGTATATTATAAGTGGGTCAAGTATTATTAACTATCTACCTATTTAGTATTATTTTCAAGTTCATATTGTCTAATATAAATATATCCTTTTTATTATTCAGTCAGATTATTTCAGGACCACATATACGTTAGTGTTATATTAAAATATATTATATTGTGTTAAATAATAATAACCACTTTAAATATCAAAAACGTATTCAAACACTTGTATTATTCCAAGAGCGCCGCGAGAATGAGTATGTGTGATATTGTGCCACCCTATATTCCCCCCCCCCCTAAACTATATGTCTACTAAATAAGTGTTTTTTTTTACAATATCCACTGTACATATATAGGCTGTAGCGTAGGTCTTATCTAAAGGTAATAAATTATTCGGTATTATAATATTTTATGATATCGAAATTATCGGGTGCGTCAACAATAATGGCTATCGGTGTCGTAATTTCTAAAGATGTCACCCTGGCATACAAATAGTGTGTATAATGTGTATAGGTACCAATATTATGGTTATAAAACAACCACGAGTGTATCACGAATATTTGGTATAATATTTCAATGTGATGTTATTGTTGTACAAATCCTATTGGCTACGACACCCTAATCCCAGTGTACGTATCACGTATGAAATGGATAAAACTATTTGTAATTTTCTACTAAAGCTTATTATAAAACATCGTGTAGTTGGTGATAAATAACGATACACGTTCAGTGTTTAAACTACGTTAAACAGTTTCACTACCTTACAAGATGCCGTGTTTTAAATTGTATAAGTAGATAGATACAGTAGATAAGTAGAAACATTGTGCGTTTAAATGAAAATTTATTATCAATTATATAAATCTGATGTATAAAAATTGTTCATACATCAATAATGGCCTATAATCAAGTTTCCATTCTTCGATTATTTTGATTTCGAAAGCACTGACTTTATTAGTTGAAATTTAATTTAATTTACATAAAAATACAAAAATTACTTTCAAATAAAAATAGGTTTTTTTAGATAATGATTGTTTTGTAGAGAGTCTTAAAGGTCAAATCATTGTGCTCTAATATATTATTATAACAAACTAATATCTAGTCCTACATAAGACATTAATATTAAACCAAATTTTTTTTATCTATAGTAACATTTTGGTAGATGGGGATGTCAATAGTCATTCAAAATTATTATGCTCTAACAAAATATAAACGGTTTTAATTCCTAATTAGAGTAAAATATACAGTATTTTTTAAAAAATATAAATTAAAAACGTCACGACAGTTACAGATAAGAAAAGGTAGGTAGTAGGTACGCTCCTAATTAAATTATTTTGTAGTTAGGTATGCTTTAATAATGTATCATTAAATTTTTTTTTATTTATATTAACTTATCAAGTCGTAAAATAAAACTAACATTCTAGAATTGTATTATGGGCGTAACACAAGATTGTTTTTTTTTTCTATACAGCATTAACATAAATAGGTACTTAATATTCTAATTAGTAATAATACATAAGGATGCTCTATTAGAGTGTTTCTATGACTTTTAAATTATTTTAACTAAGCTTTTAGACCTTACTTATAATAATGAAGTCAATCGTATTTTCATATTATTATTTGTAATTAGCCACTTTAAGATGAAAATATTAAATATTCATACACTTTGTCATAACTCATAATCGATCACGTTTTTTAAGACAACTATAAGCCATATTGATGAAATTAACGAAGTAATTTTATTATTTTTAAAATCTTATACTACCTATTTAACTGATTTCATGTTTTCGAACTGCAAAATACATGAAGTAGAAAATAACTTTACGAACAAGTAACACATTTCACAACATTGTAATTCGGTCAACTTTTATTGAACATATTCAACAAGCAAATATTCAAATTTATAGGTAATAATTAGGTTAGTGAAATGTGTAAAACAAAAAAAAATATCCACAAAATACATGAAACTTTTAACATAATATTTGAATCGGTGGCACAACACCGTTAACCATCTCAATTATATAAAGAAATACATTGACAGTTCAAGGTGTTCGATATACATGTTTAATGTCAGTTTTTCGACGGAAATATAGTTCAGTCGTGTATAATATTATAATTTGTCTCATTCTTATTTTATTACTTATGTTTTAATAGTAAATTACTAAATATAGTGCGATCGTGAGAACAATATTATTGAATTATTAAATTATGTATTGAACATTTAACGATCTAATAAAAAAATGTTTAGATATATATTTTACACGCACACAGTATAATTACATTTATAATATTACATTTTCGTAATTTCAAAATTACATCCGTTTTTCTTTGATAATAAAACTTTTACACTTATTTTACATAGGTAATATAATATTTTGTTCAGTTGCTATATTATATTGTTCACATATTTTTTTAGCACGTTAACTGTGGATAATATTTTATGAACTTTGAGTTCTCCTGTGGAATAAAATTTGGACTTACAAAAAACATTCTTAAATATTTAAAAATAAAAATATCTATGTTTGACTTGCACGTACGAATGAAATAATACGTGTATATGCGACGAGTTCAAAAGTCGAATAGGTAGGTAATTTAATCTACATTGACTAACCTAGTGCATGCCGGCTCTTTTCGTGTCATCCTGCATTGGTAAATAATTACAATATTGGCATCATCAATAATATTATCTAAACGTGTTAAATAGGATAACTTGGATGGATTAATATATTAATATATAACACCTATGATTATTGTTTAGCTTTTAAAATTTAACTTATAAACAAATAACAATTATCAATTTAAAACTAATGCATTTGTTGAACATTTACTTGATACAACATAATTTATTTTATTTTATTGGTTAATCACTATAATATGAAGAAAAAATACGATTTAAATTTTACTGAAATGATATTAGGCAAATAAAAGTGTTATTCGGTGTTATTCTATATATTATTAGAAAATATTCATTATCATCTACAATATTGTCTTTGGATGATATGAATGGAATGACATGTGTAAGTATAACATTTGAAAAATATTTTTTTACTATATATGTCTGGCTATTCTATTGACAAAGTAAACAAGTAGGTATATAATAAAATAAATGTGACCATTAAATTAATATTTTTTTTTTTTAATTTTTAAATTGACTACACAATTAACACACCAATGATGAGGGATGTTTTAAAATGGTTCATTATATCAATGGCCGTTGTAGGCTGGATATTTTTTATTCTGTGTACTGTTATTCTTGTACGCTGGACAAGATTCGTGCATAGAAATCCAAATGCCCAAGATATAATAAATCAAATAATTCTGCGCGTGATTTTCGTAGACTAATTAAAAACAAAAGAAATGTAATACAAATTTGCCAACTCTGAAACTGGAAAGAAATGGAATTTTCAAGTAGGTATCAAAATACACTAAAGAAAAATATTAGTTTAACCTGCAAAAGACATCGGATAGTATTTAATTTCATATAAATAACCTATGTGATTTCATTATAAATTAAACTTTATACATTATTTCCACTGTGCGGGTAATATACAATTCATGGGAGTTTTATTATTAAGTTTTTAAAAATTAATTTTTACTTTTTGGGTTTTTTTCTTTAGTATGGTCGATGTGATAAATAACAAGAATTATGAATTAATTGACTTTTCATGCCTATAATAATAGTTAATTATTGTCTCATTTTCATTAAGTAATTCAATGGTATATTTTTTAAATTAGGGCTGAAAGTGGAAAAAAGTTCCAGGGGGGGACTACTTCTCCATGTAGTTTTAAGCGTTCCATATTATATAATTTTTAGCGTAATGTCTAATGTATGTGTATTGTATAAACATTAAACAGTGATTGTGTAAGCATACTCATTCCACTTTTAACCCGGAATAATGATAATATTAATTTTTTAAAGGGGAAGCTTTTTAACCACCGTTAAAAGTAGGGAAACTGGGTCCACCTGCTTCCCTCTCACTTTAATCACTGTTTAAAATGTATTATTTTAAATTTATTTTAGACGATGTGTAACTGGAAGAGGAACAAGAATGGTATTTAGCCAAAGTTATTTTAAAAATCATAGTTGATGTTTTTCAAGAACACGCCTTTGTAACACTCTCAAATTTTTAATATAAAATTATTCGAAATTAAACTGTTCCTAGATTATACTATTAATTATATTCATAAAAATTCTAAAAGAACGGTTTTTCAAATGACTTATTGATCGATTAGCAAATAATTTATGAAGTATTCAATTAGCATACCTAGGTATTCGGTATAGTAATAAACTTTTGTCAACACGATTGCGATATAATTGAAATATAGGTGTTGTCCTTTTAACAATTTTACAGTACACTATTCAAAAATTCAGTTGGACTTGGTTAATTCGAAGTTGAAGTTAAAAGTAACAGACAAGTTGTACATTTGTAAGATTTAGACAACGCATGAGGGTGTGACGTCCTCTTAATGTAAAACAGTTTAAACCAAGCCAACAATTAAATTTTCTGGTCAGTCCTAATCTTGTAAAATTGGTAAGGAAAATATTGTTAAAAGAACAACACCTATTTTCATATATTATGTTGCTTCTCTGTAAAAATTTTAAACGGGGACAATTGCACCGAATATTATATTAAGTACAGCTAAGTATTAATGACATGAATGAGTTAAGGTAATCACCAAGTTTATCAGTTTTCGTCAAACATGATTAGGATAGATTCCCCCTTATGACCTATTTTCAATGTTTATAATAACTTAGATATGATATTAATAACGGTAACTATAAATATCATATTTTTAATTATGAAAATATAGTGAATGGTACAAAAATTATCAGACAAAAGACAAAATAATTTGACCAACACTGCTATTTATGTTTACTGTATAATATTATATTTCTTATACATGGCCTATAGTGCCTACTTAAGACTGTTAATGTAGTTTTTAAAAAATTCAAAAAATTATGAATGTATTGTTAGTAAGATAGTCATATGTTTAATATATAGGTAGTTTATTAAATTCTATTATAAATTATCATTATTATTATTATTATTATTATTTATTCCTTATAGCCTGGGCTTGAAACATGTTTCAAAACCGATTTCAAAAACCGGTAGAAGCCGTTATAAAACCGAAACCAACAACAAAATTAAAACCAAAACCTAAAATAATTGTATACAGGTATTAACTTAATTAAACCAAAACCCGAAAAAATTGGATACCGGTATTATAATTAAAAACCAAAACCGAAAATATAATTTAAAAAACCAAATTTTTTAAAAATATTTGGATCTTGACATTTTGAAAAGTTTACTTTACACAAAAGGCGATTCTAACGCTTGATCTAAGAGATTCAAAAAAATTAATAAAGTAAAAATGAGCGTTTTCTTGAAACCAATTTTAGAAACCAGTAAAAACTGAAACCGAAAACAAAATCAAAAATGAAATCTGAAAAAATTGAAAACCGGTATTAAATCCAAAACTGAAACTGAAAAAAATTGGAAACCGGTATACAAAATCGAAACCAAAACCGAAATATCCTAATACCGGTATTGAAAAATTTAAACCAAAATCGAAAAAAATGAAAATCAGTATACAAAATCGAAACCGAAATTTTGTTTAATCGGTCTTAATCCCTGCTTATAGCAAGTTAATGTTTTTCGAGTCCATCTAATCTTTATGTTTTTGGTTCAGTCGCCTTACGAAAATTGAGTAACTTGAACTCATTGATGAAAATAATGATAATAGTTTATAATAATATCATATCTTTAACAGACATTTTATAGAAGTAAATCTGTCTAATTAGGTAAGGCTTACTGGTGATAGTAATATGGTAATTCACTGAAAACACTTAAGTAATTAATACCAATAAATTGTTGTAACTTGAAACCATCGATTCGCAAATTATTAAAATTTTAATTGTACCTAGTTACAATGTAAACTCTGTGCTGGAATAGAATATTTAAAAAATCATGGATAGGACGGTGGCATTTCCGATGTACTTTAACTTAGACCTACAGATCCTGTATTAAATTTATAACTTTATAAATTTGTACCGACGAATTCGAACATGTCATACTATATGCACTCATCGGTAACTAGGTAAAGTAAAAAAAAAAGTATCCAGATGATCTCAACCCGGAGGGTTTCTTTAATGACTTTAAAGGTTACGTGTTCGTTTTTTTAGTTCTACTCTCCGTGAATAACTAACATCAGAGTGTTGTTGACTTGTTTTGCAAAACAGTGAGAAAAAAAACTTTCGTTTTAAAGTTTGCAAATGAAGTTGATGTTTTCGTAGCCTTTCGCCCGCGATTGAAAAGTTTTCGAATAAACGAAGAATAAATAATTAAATTGTCACCCGTCAAGAAACTACTCGAGAGAGCACTATAACGGCGATTCAGAAGCAAAGATCATTTACGAAAACCTCTGGTGACTTGGTCTTTTTTATACCCTTATAGAACACCAGAAACATTTTAAGTGCCAGTAATTTCAAGGAAGAAAGAGAGGAAATCAACGTCTCTTTGAAAAAGTTGTACGAATTCAAGTCGATTTCTTTTTAAAATCTGCATACCTAAGGATGTAACTATTTAAAAAAAACAAAAAAATTTAGGAAGTTTCCAAATATTATTTAATTATGAATGACTCATCAACTATAAATACCAGTGAATATATATTTAAGGAATTCTGTATAAACTCAATAGTTATTTATTTATTATTAAGCTTTTGTTGATACAGTTTTTCATTGTCAAACAGATAATATTATAATAGGAATAGAGAAGGAAATATGAATACTTTTGTGACGGTAAAAGTACGTACATCAATAAATTTAATTGTTACGGACACCCACAATTTTAGTACTGCCGGTATATCATAATATATTATTACTGAATGACTGAATGACAATTTGTTTTTTGAAATAATATGAATTTGAAAAATGACTTATAAATGACTACAATAGTTCTAGACTGCACTCGAAAAAATTATTTTTAAATTAATTAAATGATTGAACGATTGGATCATAAATTATTAAGCACATTATTTCAACATCATCATGTGCTTAGTTAAGCCGAGAAAAACGTTCGCACACGTTTTATTAAAAATGATTATGATTAATGTAAAAACAATTAATTGATTTTTCCAATGTAATTATTAAATTACTTTCCATCCTTCATAGCGCTGTTCAGAACTGTATAAATCTAGGTCATGTATTATTTTATTGATGTTACAAAATAATTAGGTACCGACCCATTACTTATTCTATTTGAAACACTGCTTTGAAGAAGTAAGGAATGAACAGCCATTTGCAGGTATTCTATTTAACTGTAATATTATTTTGCTTTGTATAAAAAAATAATATTGAATATCTGATTATAGATAAAATCTTTCATCACTTATCAATAACTAAAGTAACTAGATATTTTGTTCAATGATCGTCCCAGTGGTTAGAACAAATGTATGATATTTTAAATTGAATGTTTTATTTCATCTACCAATCCTAAATTTAAATCGAACTTTTTCACATTAGGTGAATTTATTGTTAATGTTCATTCGGGTGAACTTATTCTAGGCTATCGTTTGATGATTTATCCTGAAGAATTTATATTATTTTGACCAGATGTCTTTACATTTCTCATTTTAGATTATGGGCGGAGCGAAGAATCTTTAGCTGTTTTGTTCCAATAACTTCCCAATACACACAATATCTGACATTAATTGATTCTTTATTATTATACAGTTGAAAACACACGAAATAGAATTTATTGTATTAGGCCTGTATTGCCGAAATTCCTAATAAAAGTCATTAAACGCTGTTACTTAATATATATATAGATATTCAACTGCGTTTTGACGGCTTAATGCCACCACTTTAAAAGGTTACCGCAGTATTCTTAAGTAATGATGTGGACGATTTGCCTTATTTGCCATATTGTATTTTATTTTATAATCTTGTGAAAAAAAAATGATATATAACTATAACATAAATTAAATTTCAACCAATTTAAAAAAAATAAAACTGTGACTTTCAGTTGTAGAACCAAAAATACCAACTCTAAGTTATACATTTTTCAAGATTTCGTATTTCGTGAATACAAGGTGTAACAATTTGATTACTTTATTGTTTACTTTTTCCTAAGCTACAGGTGTTACAAATAATATGTTTGAATTTCAATATGTCTAATATCATTTATTTGAATATAATAAAACAAACGTATGCAATAATACCCAATAAATTATAATCATTTAAAACTAAATTATTAATACCTAACCTATACATACATATATGAACTATTGAATATTGATACTAAATATTATACTTATTGTTTATATATGGTTAATATTAGTAATTTATTTTTGAATCAACTTAAATGCTGAACATTAAGTATTGGTTGAGTAAACTTTAAAACGAATACTATATTTTTAGGCCCAAGAGTGGTTCAATGTTATTGTACAGCAGGAAGAAAGTGCGATACAGACGTGATGGATATTGTTGGAAAAAAAGAAAAGACGGCAAGACTACTCGTGAAGACCACATGAAGTTGAAAGTCCAAGGAACCGAGGTCAGTGCAATAATATTTTATGCCATTCCAATATTAGAATAAATATGACAGATAAAAACTTTCCTCGAATTAATACATGACGTCACTATGTGAGTAAAATTCAACCTAAACATAAAATAACGGTAATAATATTCTCCTTGAACTGGTATATAATATCAGTATTATGTTAAGTGTAAATATGTAAACGTTTCATAATAAAGTACCTTGTGGATGGAAAAAAAAAATATATATATATATTGGATTTATCACGAATCTTGAATTATTGAATAATGCATATTGTATCTAAGTGTTTTTAGCAATAAAATTGAGTGGATTTATTCGCTCTTTCGAATTTTTACTTATCGAGTTTTAAAGATATTAAGATTCTACTATTTACTCTACTCATTCCCGCATATTATACCAGATACCTATCTTTATGTAAGAAATTAATACAAGACGATTCGAATTGTTGTTTAAATAAAATAAGAAAGTGCATAACTTAAAATTAACTTAATTAGAAATTTATTATTTCATGTACAAGTATGCCATAATACGATGGTAAATAATTCACTATTTTTTTTTCAATCACAATAAATTTTAATGACTGTCATAAAGTTTCGTAATATTCACCTTTACGCGAACAATAAACTTTTTATTGCCTATATTATATAAAAAAAAATGGCTTTATGGCTTACCAATGTCTCAAGGTATTTATTTAAAACTAAAAAAACACACAAAATACATGGATAATACTGCAAGGATAGATATTTAAGCACCGAATTACCAAAAAAACAAATGTATGAGAATCATTCACTAAGATTGTTTAGTTCATGCGTTTTAGATTCTGATCAGAGCGAGAGAACTGGTTATACAATTCATTATTTATTTTTTTTTTTTTATCTGAAAACAACTTTTTGACCAGAAAACTTTCTAACACGTATATAGGTACTTACCCATTTTACAGTAGACAATTTTATCTTATTGAGAAAACTTTTAAGAAGTTATTTATTTCAGTTTTGGATAATTTTAATAATTGTTTAAACAAAAACTATCGAAACAAGACAAGAAAACGGGAAAATAGTATAATCACGGTTTAACATACAATCTAAGAGGTACTTTCGTACCTCTTCGTAATTACATAGAAAATAATACAGAAATTCTGAAATTGAAACCGAATATATAATTTAATACAATATGCTAGTGATTGAATGTTCAATATTTTTCTGAAATGTTAGGTTATTTATATTATATACATTTAAAATGTTTAGGCTTTTTACACTAAATAATATTATATTTATTCATATATTTTCTCTTCTGAATTTCTGATGTTAAGTATACTGAAATACTGAATACATAACAAATATGAATATATTTAGGTATGTATATCACACCGAGATCCACTAAAAATCGTTTTATTTATTGCTTTAAATTTCAAACCAACCATTACAATGATCTAATTCTTGGATGTACCGTCAAAACCTACGATTAACCAGCAGATGAGTGAACTCAGCTCTTGTTTTTATTTATTATTATTCGTTTCGTACGGAATTCCATTGTTATTCATCGTTATAATAATATATATACACCCTACATTTTGTGAATTCGTAAACTTACATTTCGAAACACCTCTAACCTAACCCTTGTAGGATATAAATTATATCATAGTGGACAATTTTCATTTTTCTTTCATATGCTGTGAGTATAGGTATCGTGTGCGTGGCGCTTCTAGTCCCTGGTGACGTACCAAAACGTATATATCTGCTACCACACCAAACAGTTTTCGTCATTTTAAATGCACAATCATATTTCTGCGCGTCTTATAAATAATTTTCAGAATGACAAGTATGTGCCGTTTGAATACACACTCGTCTTGCGAATAGTCGAGGAATAAATAATACGATTTTGATCATAGTGTAAGAGGCGACGTCTCCCAGAAGGCATGTTGACATGAGTCAAACATCATTTATCAGTACTTGACGTTTTGAACTTACTTTTACCAAACAAAAAAAAAAAAAGAGAAATCCTTTTAAACATTATTAACGGTTGTTTTTGAACGTTTAAATATTATATGACCGCATGACGTGTACTACAGTGCCTGTAGTTGTAAGTAAGAACAAATAATGTTGTCTTGTTTTCTTCGTCTTAAAATATAATCTTACCGGGACTTAAAGTAAAAGAAAAAGTTTTTAAGACTTTTAAATCTTAACCATATCTTTTAAACGAACTTATGGCAACTATTTTATGCGGGAATTAATGAAACATTTATTAATCTGTTACTATTATAATATTTAGTAATGATACGATCTCTTTTTTACTTGTTGGAAAATTGTGTTGTAAATATTATAATACTAATATTTGTTCGTACTTTCTTTGCGCTCAACACACCCAAAATTGTTCACATAAATATTTAAAACGACTGTATACTTTTGTTACGTAATTCAGTGTAGGTATTGTGCAATTCATTATTTTTGTTCAAAAGTCAATGTTGTATAATATATTTTATCATACATTTTTTTCCACTCAAGTTTGATGAAAATATTAATACCAAGCCAATGGCATGTTTCATATATTTTATTTTTTGTAAGCCCTTCGGTAAATTTATGAATAGTACTTAATTACTGAAATACACGCAGTGTATTTTTATTTCGGTTGAAGTTATTATTAAAGACTGATCGTGGAACCGTGAGGGTAATTCCATCTCCTTTACACAGTCACACTACCGGACTACCCAATAAATTGGCTTGCACATTAATAAATGTATTTATGAGATACATCCTTACGATTCCATTGATTTGTTATGTTTCAAACACAATTAATAATACTTTAGGTAATACAATTTGATTTTATTTTTTTTTTTTGATTGATCTAAAAAACATCGGCTCTGTGGCCATTAGTAATTCGATTTTTGTTCTGTTTAAATATTATATTTTGTGTATTAAAAATTTAAACTTAATTGATTACTTGTTAACAATTGTGTTATTCCAAGAAAAAAATTAAATAATCAAAGCACAAAATATGTATACCTAATTATATATATATATATATTTATAGGGAAATAAAAACAATAAAATATAATTAAATTAAAATTAAAAACAATTTAAAAAATATATATCAAAAAGTTGATGATTGGACAAAAAAATATAAATCAAATATTAATTGGAAACTGGGGTGGAAAAATTCACAAAGTATTGCATGGTGTACATTATTGTAGTGGTTAGTAAAGGTATATATTATAAAATCTATTACATTGACTTTTACTTATAAAATCTAGGTACATATAACATCTATGTGTCTACATTATTGGGAGCTACAAATAGCGCAGATGCTTAATAAATTATTCTAAATGGCTTAATAAATAGTTAAGTAATTTTGATCTGTTAATAGCATATATCTAGGCGGCGGATTTATTTTTATTTAAAATAAATGATATATAATAATATATGGCATAACTATTTATTTTTATTCAAATATTTAAATAATAATAAAACATGTGAAAAATAAAACCAATATAAATTTATATTGGATTCTTGCCACCAACAAAACAATGGATTACCGTGTACTTTTTAATTTTATTAAAGTCAAACAGCGCTGACTCTGTATAAAAAACTTTTTTTTTTTATGTAGTTATCTACTTAAGAACCGTTGCAGAAGTTATAGAATATAGGTACAAACTTCAAAGCTATTAAGTCCTAATTCTATAGGGCTAAACCCCATAGAATTATTGAATCTCGTGCACACACTCTCTTCCACTTGCATTGTTTCCAACCTAGCAACAATTTTTTTCTGTTTGTTTCCCTCATTTTCACCTGATTTTGTTTAAAAATGTAAGTTATGTAACACCAATATGCAAATATGAGATTAACGTTAAATATGTAGGCAATATTAAGTACAAATATGTAAAAAAAAAAAATATAACGTCAACCATATTATTAATATTATATTATAATTTATAATTGCTTGTAACATTCAGTTTGCCTCAGTCATATATTATTTAAATACATACAAATCCGCGTTCTACTGAAATCACTATGAAATACAGTACAAAAATAATTCAAACGAAATTTAATTTGAATGTCAATAAAGAAATAGATTATAATTATTTAAATTGGCCTTAACAATCATAGAGTTATATTGATATTAAATCATTCCAAATATAACTAAATTGCAAGATCTTGAATTATGCGATAGCATTAGATTTTCCATATACCCAGTTACGTTATGAGTCAAAAAAAAAATAATGTTATTAATATTGCGTGTGTATATATATTGTTATTTCTTATTTCTTATACATCCGTTGGTCGGCGCTGTGTATAGGCAATTTCGGTACATTGACGTGTAGGTAGCTTCGAGTTTTCGTACCTAATGAACCTAGTCATAGATTGAGTTGGTGTATTATTAGAAACGACATTTTGACGTTGAACGAACTGTAATATAAATAAATGACTTGTTAAGAAGGTAATCCAATGTTCCTATTTCCTTGGTTTATTGGTTTTGTATATGTGTTTTGGTATGAGAGGGAGGAGTGATAGACACACCCAACAAATGCGGAGTCACCAATTTATATTATAGATAAAGAGAGCTACGTTGGTATGTAACGACAGTCTATTTTATTTCTATAGGTACGTTAGTCACATAGTTTTTTCTATAAATAATTTCACAGTAAAATTCCATTTAATCGATTATCGCTCTTTCTTAAAACCACATATGCCATTTTTGATTTTAGTCTACATTTGGAGTCACCCTTTTACCAAATTGTATTAACATTGTCCAGAAATAATTTATGACGCTGACACATTCAGAACGAAAGTTTGGTTTTTTTTTCTTTTTTTGGCAAACGATATCCGACTACACTATAAGAACACCATTATCCAAGTGGAGTGGTTTTGCTTCCATTTTTAATCGTATTCTCTGAAAGTTTTGACATATATTGTGCGGTCAAATCACTTTTTTCTGGGCAAAGGGGACATATCATGCACAAAAACGTCATCGTAAATTACGAAGCTCGGACGATATTGCCTTCG